ACCAATGGACTTTTTTACTCAAAAAAAAGTCTTTTAAAAAATTCGCAGGAAACTTTTCTGCGAAATTTTTTGCAAAAAATTCTGCAGGAATATTTTTTACGAAAAAATTAAAAAAAAAATACTATAAATTCTATATTTTAAGAATTCATAATCTTTTATTTTCATGCCTCATACATAATCTTTTAAATTCTAATTGTAGATTATAAGCCTAACACTCAACCATACAATTCAACTTGTAAGCTAAGTGTTACTCCAACTTATATACTCTTTAATTGTTTTATTTTCAATCGATGTGGGATTTGAAGATTTTTTAAAATATTAAACTTATGAATTTAAATATATTTTTTTATTTTTCCTGCGAATTAAAATTTGCAGGAAAATCCGAAGGAAAATTTACCTGCAAATTTTTTTTACCATTTAGTAAACATTACTTGCAAATTTATTTTTGCAAGAAACAAAATAAAATTCTTACAATATTTTCTGCAAATTTTTACCATGAAATTTTTTTTTCCATGATTATTAAAATTGTAGCAAAATTTGTAAGAAATATTTGTAAATTATTTTTTGCAGGAAAATTCGCAAAAAAATTCTGCAAATATTTTTTTGCAGGAAAATTCGCAAAAACTTTCTAGAATATTTTTTTTTACAAGAAAATTTGTAAAAAAATAACATTTTTCTAGTAGTGAGATATTAGTCATTATTTCTAATATTATGACTATTCAAAAAAAAATTATCCAAACATATCCTAACAATTTAAAAACTTATTTATTTTACAACCTAATTTTGTGCTGGGCCATTACCAAACCGGCTCAGCCCATTCAACCATACAAAGCAAATATACTAGCATAAAAGTCCGTAAAGCCCAACACATCTATCCCAACTTCAACTTAACACCCTGCTTAATTATTTGAGAATCTTTTTGCCACTCCACAGGGACTCGGGTAGAGGACCAGAGCTAGGATTCAATGATAGGGCACAATTTTAGAAATTAAAATTTTTCCGATAAATACATAAACATTAAATTTTTTATAAAATATTTATAATTGTATATTTTTAAAAACTTATAAATAATATGGTAAAAATATATATAAAAAAAATATAATACAAATACAATGTTATCAATAACTATGAATTTGTTAAATTCCTAAACATCAAAACCACCCTATAACTACAATAATATCTTTAATCTCAAGATCTTCTCAAGGATACGTACCAAGCATGGATAATGAAAATAAAAAAAGGAAACGACAATCATACAATGAAGGGGTGAAAATTGAAGCATTTAAATTATTTTATTCATTTTCTCCTTATTAAAACACGTGAATCAAAATATCAAGTTTTATTTATAACAAAAAATAATATTTACCTCTTCAAACCATAATCTTACATCTTATAAAATCCTTCAAATATATCAATTTTTCACTAAATTAATAACTTCTATACTTTTAAAATTTTGTATAGTAAATTAAAGGTAAACCCCTAAAAAAATCGATCACGAAGGAAATCTGAAAGCATTAGATAAAATAAAATCAATTGAAGGTTCAAATTGCTTAATTTCAAAATTTGAAGGGCTTAACTGACTAAAAAGTTTAGAGGACTAAAATGGTATATAATTCAAATTAAAAGGATAAAAGAAATATTTATCTCAAATGTATTAGTGATGGGGAAACTTTAGGAGAACTGGTATTTGATAGATTTTTTTTTAAAGTAATAAATAAACTAATTTTATGTCATCAAACAAAGTTTCAAGGTTTAAATATATTTTTAGTCCCTCAAATTTAAAATAAATTTATTTTTTGTCCCTCAAATTTAAAACTGTTATTTTTAGTCCCTATAATTTTTAAAAATCTTATTTTAGCCCTTTAGGTTATCAATAACATATTTGAAAGTGACTAATTAAGACAATTATGCAATATGAACCGGATTTAATGTGATATTTTTATTAATAGGGACACCAATAAGTAGATTTTATGCAATAATGTTTGATAAAATTCTTAACAAAATTTAAATATAAGGACTAAAATAAGATTTTTTTAAATTATAAGAACTAAAAACAAGAATTTTAAATTTAAGAGACCAAAAATAGATTTATCCTAAATTTGAGAGACTAAAAATATATTTAAGTTTGAATTATTTATCCAATTCTGCGAACGACATAAAGATCATATATTATATAACCTGGACATTGATCATATATATTTTTTTTGGACAAGGATCATATAGATCATCAATTGTATAATTGACTTACTGAACATAATTGGATTGTGTGTGTGAGAGAGAGAGAGGGAGAGAGAAGAAAAAAAAAAAGTGAAGAAACTAAAGCATTCACCCGAATTAGAAAACATAGGTTGGTCACGGTACCCTTGAAAAGGTCAGAGGGTGATGAGAAAGTGCAAGCTAGGCAAACATGTCATTACAACTCATTTCAGTTCCACGTTTTCATGCTACAAAAAAGGGGCTATGCATGGCCAATTTGAGACTGGTCATAACACCTTGACACACAGAACAACAACAGAAAGAAGGCAGGTACGAAGGAAGGAAGAGGAGAGGGAAGAGAGGACTGATAGAAACAACTATCTTTCCATCTATATACCTCGTCCTTCCTTTTTCTTTTCCTTCTAAACATAAAGCAAATCTTATTCATCTGGGTTTCTAATTCTTTTTCACATGCAATGACATTCACGAGCAGTTCGGTTTTATGACACTATAAACACTTTATCATAATATTTGTCCCTCCAGCGATCTTCAAGCAGGTAACATCCCCTTTTTCCTGTTTTATCATTATATCACATTTCTCTGTTCACAATCTATCTGGTACTCCTAGTATCGATTCTCGCAGTGTTAGAATAATGTTTGACCAATAGAAATCATATCTCATATGTACAGATTCGTTCATAATTATCAGTTTTAAGATACTGTGTGGATCATGACTATGGCGAAAAAATATAGTCCTATATTTTTTAAGTTTAATTAATTTGGAATGTCCTATGAGCAAAGTGATTTGATAAATTTGCAGGGGGGGACAGAAATATTGAATATCTTGATCCAGATCAATATCCAAAACAAACCATGTCTTCAAGCACATTAAGAAGAGCCATTGGGGCAGTGAAGGATCGAACAAGCATAGGCTTAGCCAAGGTGGGAAGCAGTGCCTCACTTTCTGATCTTCATGTGGCCATTGTGAAGGCAACAAGGCATGATGAGGACCCAGCAGATGAGAAACACATTAAGGAGATTCTAAGCTTAACATGTTACTCTCGCTCATTCATCGGTGCATGTGTGAACACCCTCTCCAAGCGCCTTAGCAAGACCAGCAGTTGGACCGTGGCTTTGAAAACTCTCGTTTTGATTCAGAGGCTGCTATCAGACGGCGATCCTGCGTATGAACATGAAATATTCTTCTCAACTCGCCGAGGGACTCGCCTCCTCAACATGTCTGATTTCAGGGGCCATTCTAAACGCAATTCGTGGGACTTCTCTGCGTTTGTGCGCACCTATGCGTTGTATCTGGATGAAAGGCTTGAGTACAGGATGCAAAGCAAGCGTGGAAGGCGAAGCAGGTTTGCTTTTGATGAGGATGAGGAGGAACCTCAAGAAAGATATAGATTCAGAGAAAGAGAAAAGAATAGAGAAAACGTGAAAGCCACACCAATGTGTGAGATGAAGACTGAGGAGCTGTTTTCCAAATTGCAGCACTTGCAGTTGCTCCTTGAGCGCTTCCTAGCTTGCCGTCCCACAGGTTTGTAATTGTTACAATGAGTAATTTGCAATTAGATGAAACATGAACATACATGCTTCTTAAAACTCTGATTATAAAATATTGCTTTTAAAGAACCTCCCAATAGAAATTATGTAGCAGTGTTATTTGCACTCTAAATTTGTAATTGATATCTTGTATGTCGATAACAGCTCAAAGTGTGCATCAATTTATATTTTTCCAATAGTTATTTCAAAATTAACAGATACCGCTAGTTTCGATCTTTGATCAGAATTAAAATTTTTCCTTAGTAATATACATTGACATCTAATGAAATCTTTTTTTAAGTATATTATCAACATAAAACTCCAATTATGATAGGATAACAACAGTTACAGCACCTTATAGTAATGCATGTAAGTTTTATCTTTTTAAAACAGCATTCACTTATAACATGGTTCAAGATGGGCCATTATGCACTTTCAATTAATGTAGACATAGAATTTACCATATATAACTGTTATATATACAAGCATGAAATTGAGATACTGTTTCAACATAACAGGAAGAGCAAAGTCGCATAGAATTGTGGTAGTGGCTCTCTACCCTATTGTGAAGGAGAGTTTCCAAACATATTACGACATTACAGAAATACTGGGTATCTTCATTGATCGTGTGACTGGCATGGAGGTAACAGACTGCACTAAGGTGTACGACACTTTCTGCCGTGTCGGGAAGCTGTATGATGAGCTAGACTTGTTCTACAGCTGGTCCAAGAGCATTGGAATTGCACGCTCCAGTGAGTACCCAGAGATTGAGAGGGTCACAACTAAGAAGCTAGAGCTGATGGATCAGTATATCAAAGACAAAGCACAAAACAAGAAACTTAACATCCAAGAAGTAAAACAAGAAGAACCAGAACCTGAACCTGAACCTGAACCTGAACCCGAGGAGGACACGAACGCAATCAAGGCACTACCAGCGCCGGAATATATCCACGAGGAACCAGCAGAAGAAGTGGAGGAAGAAGAGGCAAAAGAAGAAAAATGGTTGCAGACAGAGGGTGATCTATTGGATTTAGGAGATGACATGGTGGCAAGTCATGAACATGGGGACATGCTAGCCTTGGCACTATTCGATGGCGCCGCGCCAGCAACGGGCGCCACGCAAGCTCTTCCATGGCATGCTTTTGATGATGCCTCAGATTGGGAAACAGCATTGGTGCAATCAACCAGCAACTTGTCTAACCAGAAGCCTTCTTTAGGAGGAGGGTTTGACACATTGTTGTTGGATGGTATGTATAGACAAGGAGCAACAAATGCAGCCATGCAGAGACAGGGTTATGGGATGAATGGCAGTGCTAGCAGTGTGGCAATAGGGTCTGCAGGAAAGCCTGCAATGCTAGCATTGCCGGCACCACCAACTTCAGGGAGTGCTTCAAGTCCAAATTTGATGAGTGCAGATCCGTTTGCGGCTTCATTGAATGTGGCACCTCCAGCTTACGTGCAATTAACAGAGATAGAGATGAAACAAAGGTTATTAGTGGAGGAACAACTGATGTGGCAGCAATATGCAAATGCAAGGAGTGGCATGCAAGGAAATGTTGCATTCCAACAACTACAACCTAATGGTACTTACACCGGACAGTATCAACAACACTATGGGTATTATTATCATTAATTAGAACAAACTTGTCCTTTAGTTTGCAGTTGCACCGATCTCAATAGAAATGCTTGCTTTAAACTCCTTGCAGTTTAATCACCCACAAAAGTGTAACCTAAATCCCCACAAAAAAATTAAAAGAAAAAAGTCTGCCAATTGCGGTTTAATTTCATTTCTATACATCAGGTCAAATAGCATTTTTTTTTCTCATAATGCCTTCTATTGTTCTAAAGTTTGTTGCAATTTTTGTCCTGTATTATAATCAAATTCGAATTTGGAAATATGCATGCAGCCATGGGGACCAAAAGTGAAACTACTAATCACCAGAAGATGACAGTAATTAACCTTGTCAATAGTTTAGTGGTTTTTTGGGTTACTCTTGATCAAATAGGGAAAACCAATGCATATATTATTTCACTTAAAAAATGAAATATCTTAATTTGCTGTAATTCTCTACCTTACACACTTTTTGTAAGCATGATATTCATGTATACAACTAAAAACAATAACTAATTTTCGTCTCATTAAATATTTTCTTCTCGGTATTACATATTACATATTCAAAATCAAAATTCAAATAAAGGCTAATTTATTTAAGAGTCATAAATCATTATCATTTGTGTCAACTAATTTTAATTTATTTTAATTACAAATATATTGACTACTACCAAACTTGTTCTCGTGAATGCATAACAGTAACATTTAAATTATGAAACATAAATTATGAGTTAAGAACGTGTTTTTTTTTTTAAAAAAAAAATTCTAAGCTTAATTAGTAAATAAAAAGAAAGTATTAGAAATGGTGGGGAAAGCCAGTAACCATGAAAGTGTTACGTTTGAAAAGTCTATATCATTCCACCGTGCAGTCGTGTACCATGATTTTAAGCAATGTGAAGCTAATTCGTTATAATCAAACCATGGTAAATAACTAGCACCTACATAAAAAATGAAAAGAGAAATAAAACATTTTAGGTACGTAATAGTACGTTCAGTTTAAATTTAAAACATCTGAATTTCTATCTACTTTAAATTACTCGGAAACGACTGAATTATTGAAATTTCAATGGAATTTTATGAATATATCATCAATGATTTAAGACAATCGCAACCTATCTGTTTTTTTTTTCTTTGTATTATCATCGATTTAAGTCAATTGCAAAACTTTCTTGGATAAAATGAAATTAGTTTTGCAACCTTTATAATTACATCATCAATGCTAACAGTAAAAATGTAATTTTATTATAATTTATAACAGTAATGGAAAATATAGCTAGTTAAAAAAGGAAATTTGTGACATCTTGATCATTTTTTTGCTTCAAGATAACTAAAAACACCCGATGCACTTTTATAATTAACAGAAAACTAGTGATGTTGTTAATGCATGAACTAGAAAACTATATAATTTGTTGCTTCCTACATAATACTATTAACTAAAGCCAAAACAACTTACACTTTACACAAATGAATGAGACGATAAACACCTTATAGAACTAAGGCTATAAACAAGCAAGAAGGCCTGCAATGCTTAATTGCTAGGAGCTACCACCACAAGGAGTGGTTCAAGTTTAAGTGCAATTCCGTTTGCGACCTCATTGGCTTTCGTGAAAATATCGAGATAGAGATGAAACGAATTTTTTACGTAAATATTATTTTTTTTAAAAAAAAATACCCAAATAACCACTGTGCAGATTTATTTACAGAAATAGAATCATTCACTGTTCAAGCTCAGAATTCGGTTCTCGGGGAACTCCGGGAACCAAATTCTGTGCATCAAAGTGTATTTTTTTTTGTTTTTTCAACTCAGGATTCGGTTCCCCGGGAACCGAATTCTGAGTTGGTTTTATATTTTTTTTTTCGTGTTTGCAGGGAAACGTGGGCAGATGTTGGAAGCGGAACGGCCCGTTCCGAAAGCAGAACGGGCCGTTCTGCTTAAAGGAACAGAGTGAAATTTCTGAAAGTGAAACGGGACAAGAACGGGCCGTTCCAGCGTTAAGAACGGGCTGTTCCTTTAAGGAGAAAGGCCCGTTCTTCTTTCGAAACGGGCCGTTCCGCTTTCGAAACAGGTCGTTCCGCTTCCGGGTCTGCCCACGTTCCCCTGCGAACACGAAAAATATATATATATATATAACCAACTCAGAATTCGGTTCCCCGGGAACCAAATTCTAAGTTGAAAAAACAAAAAAAAAATACACTTTGGTACTCAGAATTCGGTTCCCCGGGAACCGAATTTTGAGCTTGAACTGTGAATGGTTCTATCTGTGTAAATAAACATGCACAGTGGTTAATTGGGTAATTTTTTAAAAAAAAAATAATATTTACGTAAAAAATTCGAGATGAAACAGGTTATTAGACGAGGAACAACAAGCTTTCGTACAAATGTCAGAGATAGAAATAAATAAGGTTTTAAACGAAGGAACAAGTAATGTGGCAGCAATATGCAAGGAGTGGCATCGATCCAAGGACATGCTGCATTTGCAAAACAATAACATAATAATACTTGCATTGGACATTTTCCACAAAACTATGCGTATTGTTATCATTAATTACAACACATTTTCCTTTAGTTTTCAGTTGCACTGACCTCATTTGACATGCTTGTTCCAAACTCCGTGCAGTTTGATCACTCACATAAATGTGTTATGTAATGTAAACCCCCAGAAAAAGTTCAAAGAAAAAAGCTACAAATTTTGGGTTTGATTTCATTTCTATAATTGTTTCATAGTGACTACTCAAATTTACACCTAACGGTTGAAACCAAAAGGAACATTATCCCTTCCAGACGAATTAGCCTACGGAACGATTCACTAGCGGCACGCTCAGTATATATATAACAAAATGAAAATGCAATAATTCAAGGAAGAAATAAATTAGTCATTGACACTATAACAGATTAAGAGTTCTGAAACAAATTGAAACTGTAAACTCTAATATCCTCAAACGCAAACACTTGAGCAAAATCAAAAGCCAAGCAAGGCAAACAAAATAAGAAAAGAGAATAGAGAGAGAGGGAGAGAAAGTTTGAAATAGAGAATTCTACTATTCCATCTAGAAGAGAGAGGTTCCTTTTCCCTTCTTGTCACCACCGATCTCAAAGTGCTTGCACCTCTGCAAAACGCAAGCACATTAGGCACGTGTTAGCACAAAACGACAACAAGAAAGCGAAGCGACGGGAAGAGACGATTTACCTTGATTGGATGCTGGGAAACGTGCTTGCAACCCTGGCACTGCAGCCTCAACACGATTTTCTTGGTGGTTTTCGCCTAATTAATTAAAAAAAAAATATGATAAGTGGAGCGTTGGTGAATTAGTAATGAAAAAGGGAGGAGGTGTTTGGGGGAAACCTTTTTGTGGAAAACGGGCTTAGTCTGTCCACCGTAACCGGACTGTTTGCGGTCATAACGGCGTTTTCCCTGAGCGGCGATGCTGTCCTTACCCTTCTTGTATTGGGTGACCTTGTGGAGCGTGTGCTTCCTGCACTCCTTGCTCTTGCAGTATGTCTTCTTTGTCTTCGGAACGTTCACCTACCAACAATGATTTCCAATCAGAAATGCTTCAACACAATGAATGAAGAAGAAGAAGAAGAAGAATAAGAGATTACCATTGCGTCTATGAGATCAGAGAGCTAAGGCGGAGGCACGGTGTGTGGGGTTTAGTGTCTTCTTTCTGCGAATTAGGGTTAGTTAAATGCCTTTTCTCTTTCTCTTTCTCTATGTTGGGCTTTTTTCCCTTTCTCTTTCTCTGGGTTGGCCCAAATCCAACTAAGCATGAACCAATTATTTTCTGAGTCGCTCTTTTTTTTACGTTATCCTCAAAGATTTAATTTCGGAGTTAGAGTTTACAAAAGTTTAATTTCAGAATGAATTAAATATTATTTTGAAAAGGGTTTATAAAGCACTTTGAAATTGGCTTTTTCAAAACATCATTAATATATTTCAAAATTAAATTTATTGAAATAATGCATGCAGCACATTGTATAACAAATAAAATGGACCAAAAATGGGGAAATTGAGTGATTAACTATTAGACTAGGCATGGCAACGGGGCGGGACGGGGCGGATTTTACGTTCCCCGCTCTTGTCCCTGCAAATTTAAACCGCCCCGCCCCCGATACTCGTCGGGGATAAAATTTAGGTGCCCATCCTCGTCCCTGGCAAGGTTCGGATTTCCCCGCCCTGCCCCCATCCTCGTTCCTACTTTTTTTCTTCTTTTTTTTTCTTTTTTTTTAAATAAATATGAATAATTTTAAAAAAAATAAAAAAAAATAATATAAATTTTTACATATAAATATTTCTAATTTTGATTTATATATATATAAAAATAATTTGTTAATTATATTATTAAGCGGGGCGGGGGCGGGGTGAGTATTAACATCCCCGTCCCTGCCCCCGCCCCCGATTTTATCAATCGTATAAAATCTGAACCTGAACCCGAACACGATAAACACATATTTTTCTCATCCAAATCGGAGCGAGTTCGGGCAGGTACCCACGGAGACGGGTTAGATTGCCATGCCTATATTAGACTCTTGACAAAGAAGAATAAACGTTGGATGAAAACAATGGGTGGAACTATTAGGATGCAACATAAAATGGATAAAAAGGTGAAATTGAAGAGTGATTTTTTTTTCTCTTTTAGCTAAATCTGAAAAGGTTAATTATATGAAATAATAATTAGTAAAATATATATAAAGGATTTACAGTTTTATTCAATGTTATAAGATTTAGACTAGTTATTCACTTAGTAAAAGTTCAACAATTTAATTACGCTTTTTGTGATTCATGTTTCACAATTATGGGAATTTTGTTATTTAATTTTTAAAAATTACTTATTTTATCACTTGTTACATTAATTATTGATGTGACATATTAATTATTAATGTCTCATATTAATTATTAATATAAATTGTTGATGTGATATATATATGATAGCATGACAATGTATTATATTAGCAATTAACATATCATGTAAATAATCGATATGAATACTAATAGTAATTAATAAAATGGTAAAATGTGCAAAATTGTAATAAAAAAATGTACTACGAAATGTACAATTTTAAAAGTTAAGTAATAAAATTTTTAAATCATAAAATATAAGTGATAAAAGGTACAATTAAGTCTTTAAAATTACAATGAGTTGATATACATTAAAAAAAATCTAAATATTCATTTAAATTTCTTATCTAAATAAAATGCCTTAAAACACTTATTTTATTTATCTATTTGGCATGTATTTACATTTTCTTGCTTGAAATGTTTTTTTTATAAATAATTTTTAGGTATAGAATTCGCTAATATGCTCACTTAAATTTTAGTTATAATGCGTTAATAAGTTATAACTAAGGATTATCTTAAAATATATCAATAGTGTAATTTACTAACTTTTTTTAACTAAAAACTAAGTGAGTGTGTGTTAGCTAATATTAGTAAGATTTGCTAATATACGCTCGTTTATTTTTTAGTTGGAGTATATTATTATCAGCAAGTTATAACTAAAGTTATCTTAAAATACATCAATGATGTAGGCTGAGTTTGGCCTAGTGGAAGTTTGTTAGGTCCACACATTATGAACGTGTGTACAAGGGGGTTCTTAGCTTGAATCTTGCGAAAAACATCTCCTTTGATAAGAGTTTACCCATGTCGTTCTAACTCTCGAGATCTAAAGTTCCCTCTCCAAAGTTTTTCTCAACAAAAAAAATGTATTTTCTAAAGGAAAAAAAGGTGTATATTCTTATTAGTTTAGTTATAATAATAATAAAAAAATTAGTTTCAAATTTTAAGGTTTAGAAATATATGTTTATTTTTTATTATTTTCATTTTCCAAAAATATATTTCATCTCATCTCGGAAGAGTTTGTGTCTTTTTCTTTTGATTAATGAAAAGGTCAATAAAAGACTAAAAAACAAGGAAAAACTAACAATAAAATACATTAGTTGAAAAATCAACCATAACAAGGATTTAAAAAAAAATATACGAGATCATCAAAATTCCTTGAGCCTAGATTCATTACTAATTTTGGTAAGGGCATCATTTGACCAATTTGTCTCTCTAAAAACATGCTTACAACTAAAAGACAAAGTGACAATATGAAATCTTTACTAACCTAAAAAGGACTATAACAAGGATATAGAGGACGAGATCCCTTATTTACGAGCAAAGTTGTCACTTGAGAGTCAATCTCAACATGTTCTTAAAACTTATATGCACAGCAAGCTTAACTCCATGTAAGACTGTCCATAACTCCACTTTATTGTTGAATAGTCTCCCAAGAAGCAAGCATAACTAGTAACAAAACAATCAAAAGGATTCTTGACTAGATCTATTGTAGAAGTTTCTTGACAAATGAAAGGAAGGTACCATCGTAATTTATCTTCACAAAATCTTTAGGGGATTGTCCAAACAAGAAGCCTCTAATGAGTATTGTCCTTTAGACATGGGGAAGTCAATATTGAAAGTCTCTTTTAAGCTCATAGTTAACATATTTGTTTGGTTCCATATTGAAGCATCACTCTTCATGACCTATTAAAAATCAAATGGATAAAACACCATTCAAATCCTTGAAATTGTAAGCCACTTGTACTTTAGCCCTTAAAAGTATAAAAATTCAAAAAGAGTCTTTGAAAATGTAATTTTAGTCCAAAATTCCCAAAAAAAAAACATGTGACTTAAGTGCTAATATTAATGTATATTCAAGGACTAAAGTAATAATAAGTAGTCACTTTTAGAGACTTAAGTGAAACAAATAGAACTTTTAGAGACTTATTCATAATTTTCTTACTTTCAAGGACTAAAGTGATAGTGCCATGCACTTTCAAGGACTCAAATGGTGTTTTACTCATATCAAATTGTTCCTCCTCTCCCAAAGAAGTTGCAAAGCAAAACCAAATGCAATATGCCATGAGTTTGTTTGTTGAGTCGTGTGCTTGAGATTAAGAGAAAGCCAAATTTTCTAATCATCGCCCCATAATGATTGTTTCAAAAGAGTCAAAACATTATTACCCTAAAAACTCTTGGAAGAGTGACGATCCCTAAAAAGATGGATAGGATTTCCATCAAACAAATTACCAAATTATAAAGATGGCAATTCGCATAAGAAGTGAGCCCTCATAAATTTATTGTGGTATTTGCAAAGAAAGCATCATCATGAGTTGCTTTCCAAAGGAAATATATGTTTTAAAAGGTTTAGGACACTTCCAAACACAACATAAGGGATTTTATGAAACACTAAGAGTATTATTCATAAGGTAGTATGCAGATGCTAAAGAAAACTTTCATTTTTTGAATGTTCCCAATAAATTATGTCTGGATAACCACCCATAATAGAGGGAATTATAGCAATGATTTTGTTTAAGACTTGTGTAGGAACTAAAAAATTCAAAAACTCCAAATTCCAAGTAACATTTGAAGTAACAACATCAATATATCTCGTATTTAAATCATAATCATGAATTGGGATTTAGGACCTTTATCAAGAGAAGAGTCATTTTCTCATTTAATACTCACACATCTAATCATAATCTAATTCTACATCCATTCCATACCTTCCAAGAGATAACTTTTGAAAAAATTTCCCATATACAACCAATTCCTCACCAATAATTAGAGGCATTCTTTGGGACATTGATATTGAAAATATTGTCATCATTGTAATTGTATTTGCCACAAAGGACCCTTATCTAGAGCTTGTCCTTTACATATAGAAAAATCCCAAGCAAGTTTTAACATGTAAGCATCATTATTGACTTTCCAATTTCCAAACCAGCAACAAATTTAGGTATATTGTATTCACTTAATAAAATGTAAGTGTTTTGTATCATCATGATTGCCTAGAAGAATAGACCTAGACAACTAATCCAAATTCTCGCGCAACATTTTAGGCAAAAGATGTTTATTTTTATCATAATAATACTTACATGTACATTGCAAATACTTTAGGGATGATTTATAGTTCATTATGCTCAAACTTTGGCAAAATATGAATTGTGAAAGATTCCAATAGCTAAGGTTTAAGCAGTAGCGAACATGAGGAGGGGCATTTGTCCAAGGACCCATTTTTGGAGCTACACAAAAATATATCATTTAGTTTATAAAACAATTTTTTTTTACATAATTAAATCATATAAAAATTTATTATTGAAAATAAATTAATCATGAACATTTTATTAATTGATAGATGATGTTTTCAATTCTTAACAAGAATTTCCCTATAATTTTAAGAAAATAAATTAATAATGTTGAATATAAATAAAATAATCTGACGTAGTCAAGGTCTTATGGGAAAATAGTTCTTGACAAAGTCAATAGATACTCCTATCAATATCATGGTACCAAAAAAAGTAAAATAAAATAATGTAATATATTATTGACTAATATCTTTTTTTAGCATGAACATCCATAAGTGCTAACGTAAATTTATAAATAAAAGTTTCCTTGAACTTTCTTTTTTCTCTATCTTTTTATCTCTAATTTCTCTAATTCTCTTTCTATTATATGAATCTTGACTACTCTTGCTATGCTAAAATCTCAAATCAAATCACAAACCTCTATGAGTTTCTTTATGATATGTCATTATTATAATTTTTTTTTACTATGCACTTATTTCTAATGACAACTCATAGTCTTATAGGAAGTACCATATGTTTAGTCATTTTTTAACAAATGTGTTTAATTATTTATTGTTTACACATGAGATTTCATATCATAGATAATATTCACATAATTATGTGGACATCATTTTTTTTTTGTTTGCTTAAGATAAGTAAAAAACTCTAAGGTTGGTATGAGTTTACTGTCTTTTTAGATTGGTGGCAACCATGATATAAAAGAAAGACATTTTAGTTTTTTTATTTATCATGGCTTAATCCTTATCAAAGAGTGAATGGAGTTTCAAAGTCTCAAACAAATGGGTTAAAGGAACATCATAACGGTAACAAAAGAATTGATAGTGTTATTTGTTAAGGCGGTGTCATTGTATCACAAAGCAATGACTTTATATTAAGGGGGTGTTTGATACTCAATATTTTTTTTTTCTCGTGAATCTAAAATTGAAAAGGATAGTTTTTCATTTTTGGTTTGTTATTTTAAAAAATATTTCTAGTAAACATTATCTCGATAATGGTTTTTACATAAATTTCCCAAAAATTTGTTGGCCTTGTGGAAGCGTGCCAAGTCCTCAAAGTATGAAAATGTGTACAAGGATACTCTGCAAGAAAGTCCTTGGCTAGTTCCTGTTAAAAACATCACTTGGAAAGAAGGTTTACCATTGTGACTCTAATCCTTGAGATTGTGAAATTCCTTCTCCATAATTAAAAATTATGATTCTTGAACATGAAAAAATTTCATGTACCAAAAGCTCCATAAGTGAATCGACATATTTAACAATAAAAGACAATAGTTGAGTGCATGTAAGTTATAATAAGATTTTGCTCTTGAATTAGTTTGAGTTGTAAAAATTAATGGGTGAAAGAGTGAAGCTAATTTTAATGCTCAACAAGATCCAAATCAAATGCAACTGATATCGAAATTTCAAAAATGTTATTGCTTTCAAAGTTAACAATGGAAGACTGATACAAAAAAGTTGCTAGCATAAATAGTTTAATATTTGTGTTTCTCGACTAAAGATCAAAATTTGATCTTTGACCTAGACAAAAAAATTGCAAATGAATATACCATTTTATTTATAATATAGACTGATTTGATGAAAAAAAATTATATCTCTTAATTATAAAAAAATAAAAAATAATAGTGGTAAATTTTTTAACGTATTCTTTTTAACATATTTTTAATATTTAGGTTGAACTTTATTAAAAACTACTAAAAGTTGTGAATTTTAATAAATTTAAACTAATAATAAGGAATATATTAGAAAATGTATTAATTAATGTTTTTATTTGAAATCGAAAACATACGATGTCGTTTTAAAAACGCAATATAATTTTTTTATTTTAAAATGACCCCTCATGTCCTGTCTCCTTGTGTGTTCGCTCTTCTTCTCACAGTAACACTCTCGCGCCGTCTCGAGTCGCAAACCTGACCCTGGCGGCCTCACAAGTCAAGCCACCGCACTCTGCAAAGGCGCCACGGCCTCACCTCTGACTAGCGGCAGCATTTCCAATTTCCATTACTCCACTGGTGCCATATTCTTTTTTGTCCACTACTGCATTAACCCATTAATCGATCTCTTTCACTCAAATCAATATTTTGAGTACTGCTCTAGAATGTTTATTACAAATTATTTATCTCTATTGATCTGAACTCTTTATGGCAGCATGTTGTTACTCGCTAACTTTATGAGTTATGATAATTTGTGCTGTGAACTTTTTTTTAGTTTCTTTTTTCAGTTATGAATTGAATTTTTTAATGTTTTTTAAAGCGTAAAACTTTACATGTTACGAATTATTTATAATTTTGTAATTTGTAATATAGATTGAATCATACGGTTCAATTACTGAGCAGTAGATAGCCGGTCCGAATTTCATATCATTTTTGTATTAAGAATTGTGTATTTAATTACAACTAATTCTACTCTACTCCATAATTCCAACTATGGTTAAATAAACAAGCAGTGTCAGTGTGTGTAGTCCGTAGGGTTTAAGATCGTGTTCCAAAACACTCGCGCAGGTTCTCCCTTCAAAAATCTTCATTCTTCTTCTGTTTTCCCCTTACTTTAGATGTTAAGATGGAGGAGTTATCGCAGAACCAGACAATTGTCGTTCATGGGATTGCTGGTGCTGCCTCAGTGACTTTAGCCACGGCTTTCACTTATCCTCTTGACACCATCAAAGTTCTCATCCAGGTTCTTCAACGCCCCTTCTTTTTAACCACTGCCTATATGGTTGTGTTTTGAATTGCTTCAAATTCTTTTGTTTATTCAAAGGTTGGTTCCAGTGCCAGTAAAGAATTGGACGCTGCCCGGGCTTTGACGAGAGTAGTCTCTCTGTCGGGTAATGCAGGTAATGCTATTCCTTTTCTTTTGGAGGGAGTGTTGCAATTGCATACTGCATGACAAGTTAAGCTTAGGAGAAATACTGACCCTTTTGTTGCACGGAACTAGATTTAAATATGTGTGTGTAACAGACATGTTAATGCTGGGGATTGATGATGATAGACATCATTTACTAAGTAGTTTGTGCTCTGGATTAATAGAAAAAGGACATTTGTTTTGACATTTTCAGATTTGTTCTCGTGTTACAGGTTTTGTGAAGCTAGCTAACTGCGTGTTCCTTTTGGTTTCTTGATGCATAAACTTTATATACTATACACCTAATGTTAACCTGGCCGTCTTGTTGTATTTGGGCATTTCAGGTTTGTACGATGGTTTTGGCTGGTTTGCGGTTGGAAGGATTTTTGGTCTGGGAGCACGATTTGGGGTTTATGAAATCCTGACTGCCTTGTATAAAGGTAATTAAGTATGTTTTTTTAATTGAATTCTTTTATGTGATTAATATTCTTTTTTTGTTTCAATTTTTTCACAAATATCCATGAAATAAAGTGGGACTATTTTGTCATAAATGCTTATGACATGTTTTCTTTATAGAAATCATTCAAGATTGAAGTTTTGGTATGTCTGTAGATTTAAGATTGTGCGGCATTGTCTGATTTTAGATGGCCTTTTGATTGTTTGACTAGCTTTATTTTTCTTTTTTATTTGGACAATGCCTTTTGGAGCTTGTTGTCTGCAAGTTACAATTTTACAGTGCATTTCTTTTCTGTGGAAAATGATTTTGGTGCTCACAAGTATATGCTTTTTTGGCTTTGGCATTTGGCAGATGGTAGGGAAGATAATTATTTGCTTGCTTCTGAGGCTCTTCTGGCTGGCATGGCAGCTGGTGCCATTGAGGCAGTCATAAGCTCTCCATTCGAACTCATCAAGCTTCGTATGCAGGTTGCCTCTGCTTCATATGTTCCAAGCTCCAAGTTTTCTTTGGAAAAGGGGGCTCGTACGCCTTTAATTGCAAGATTACTTCATGGGTGTTATCCAGACAAGAGGTCCTTGAACCTATATGTTGGTCTCATCTCCAGCCTAACAACCAAAAATACTAACGTGACCAGTGCTTTACTAGAGTATCCATGGACAATGACAGGATCTGGGATGCCACCATCAGTTTCCAGTGTCAAGAGACCATCAAACATTATATCTTTGGAAGGATGGAGCACATTATGGAGAGGTCTACGTTCTGGAATAGTTCGAGATTCTGTGTTTGGTGGCATATTTTTTTCGACCTGGCAATTTCTTCACGAAGCAATGTTAGATTGGAAGGCTGTAGGGATGAATCCTCCACCCAGGTTCATCTCTTATTCATTAATTAAATTAACATTTCTTTTGTATCATTCTTCCTTTTGTTGTGTATATAGTATGCTCGTTTTTGGGAAAAATAGCTGTGTGAAAGAATTCTGACTGGGAAGTTGTCTAACTACAGCTTATGATGCTTAACATTTTGTCTAGATTTTCTACCTTGTTATTTCTTTATACGTAGATTGAGTTGCAATAGCCTTTATGTCCAATAGAAATTGCTTGTTTTCTGGCTGTAAACTATGGATAAGGTTGATGTGGATAGGTTTATGGGCTTTTTGTTTTTCATTTTCTGTTTGATTTTTTTAAGTAGATACTAATATACTATGTTATGCTGCACCAAAAGAATCAATTAGGCAATTACACTGGCTCAAATGTTTGTTTGATTGAGTTTTTCATGTGATCCTTTCTGTGATTTTATGTCTGCAATAAGATTGGTAGTGGTTGGATACTTGATGCATTAAATTTTTTATTTTCTCATCTACTAGTGATTTTAGCTTAATTAATTTAATTGCTAGTGATTTTAGTTATCCATTTTTGGTCTAAGTGTTCTTGTCCTGACTCAGGTCAAATGAAGACATCAGTCCATTGTCTCCTTTGACAGTTAGTCTTACTGCTGGATTCTCAGCTTCACTTGCTGCGGCTGCTTCCCATGGTTTTGATACTTCAAGAAGTAGATCACTATGTACTGTGCTGCCAAAGGTATGAATAATACTGGTTGTTACTGAAAAGTTTGAAAACTGCGTGTGGATTATTGTCTTGTTTTGATTACTCTTACGTGTCAAAGCCTTAGTATTAATCATAAAAAGGAAAAAGTTGTGTTTGAATATTTTCTATATTTTGGCATTTTACAGTAATATTATTTGCACTAAGAAATAAGAATTGCTCTTCTTTTCAGACAAAAAAAAAATTGAAGAACAGAAGAGTACAGAGGACAAGGAAGCTAAGATAGTCTCCTTAAACTAGACAAAAATTAACATGAATAGAGTAACTCTTTAAAGTTTAATCTCTGCATTTCAACCAAGTAGAAGAAAACCATATGCTGATGATGCTGTAAAAAAGTCCCGTTCCATATTAAGTCCAAGATTAAAATATTTTCTTTATTGTCCAATAATTCTGTGTGTCCTGACTCCTGATAGGAGGAAGTATTTTCCTATTTCTAGAGATCGAGTATTTTCCTATTTCCTCTATAGTCCCGGGAAGCAACTGTAGGATTCTTTTCTGATAGTCATCAAGTTGTGTTTTAATACTTACGGCCCAAAACATTAGTTCTGATGTCTAGATAGTAAAGTCACACGTTAAAATTAAAGATAGTGGGGGCAAAATGCTTGAAAAATGTCCAAGTATGGTTACGAGCAGTTTAGTTTTTGAAATTTATGTCTTCATTTTTCCACCAGTGACCCACAACCCACTTGTTGATCATATCATTATTATTTGCTTAAGTTTATATGCTAATAGTAATAATTTTTTTATGATGTCATGCCAAACTTTGAATAATATTAATACCTCAATTAAGTAAATAAATACTGCAATTTCATGAATTTCCAAATTGTAACCAATCTGATACCTATTTGCACTTTGTCTGGTTCAGTACATCTCGATGGAGAGAAAGCTTCTGAAATGGAAACCACAAGGAAACAAGTTTGAAAGATATACTGGGATCCATCCTTCTGACAGAAATGTCTTGTTCCGCGGTATTGGTTGGCGGATGGCTCGCTCTGGGTTGGCATCATTCCTGATTGTAGGAAGCTATTTCTTTGTTGCTGATCATCTTGCTTCTAGTTTGACATAATTGCCACATATTGATACCACATTTTGGTTAATAACTTAATTTGAGGGTGCTGCGCGTTACTAGTTAGTAAAGAAATATAGAAAGGAGACAGTACTTGATGCTTACCACAGTTGAATCAGACACTGGTGGGAATCAGTACCCTGATTGTGGTCCAGATAAAAAGTAATTAGATTGCATTTGTTCAATAAATATAAAAGATTCTTGATGTGGGGATTCACAATAGGAATTTTATTTTCTACTTCTATCACACAAGAGTTTGTACCTTCCCGCGACTGGCAATTAAATAAGAACATATATTTTCTGCATGTTCCTGTATTATTGCATCCCTTTCTTTGAGTTTGAATATAAAAGTAATTAGTTTTATTAATTATGTGGTCATTCTCTAAGTTATAACGACCTTCATATTTTGCCTGTTTGCACCACCCGTCCACACATCCGTTTTTCCCCACACAAAGAAGTTGCATTGTATCCAAGAATTCTTAACTTTATACAGCATGCTCGAGTATTCGTGTAAAATAAAAAATGTTTGAGTATTGTAATATAAAAAACAAACTATTTTCTTATGAACTTCATATATTTATCCCGTTTATGTGGCCCTTAATTGGATTAGTTTTCTCTTGATCCCTCATGGTGCAAAGCCACAGCCCACAGGACACCTTTTCCTCTTTTTGTTTCCTTCATATGTTAGGACCTTTGTCCCTTGGGCGACAAGTTCTCTCCCTTTAGCACACTGAGCAATTTTACCTTCGAACACCTTTTCCCTTTTGAGTAATCCCTTTGTGTGGGGTTGACTTATTTTGAACTTTTCTGTTGACTTGTGATGGTTGCATGGGTGGGTTGGTATAATTAACTTAACTCAAAAGCTACCTAGGTATTGGCCTCACAATCATGCGCGCTCGTTGTACTTTTTGCCATTGTAAGGGGGGAAAACATAATTCCTAGAAAACAAGCAAGCCAAAGGCGAATAGGGTTGGGATAGATGAGTACTTCTCAAACACCTGCCTTTTTCTTTGTGGCTTTCAAAACACATAAATTTCGTTGCAAACAACCAAAGCTTTATGAACAAGGTGAAAGCCAAGGCCCATTGGGAGGGTTTTCATGACAGACAATCATAATGACTTCCAATTTGATTTGGCATTTTCAACTTTCCAGGTCCAAACGGGGGCATATAGTTTGAGATTGAGAGCCACAAAGTATAATTATGTGGTTCTTCTAAGTAATGACTTTTGGTCTCTTTGAAGTTGCCACCGAAAATCACACCTCTCTGTCTCTCACTCAAGTCACATGTGTTATGTTATTAAGCAAGCACGAGTGAGATGATTAGGAGGTTCAGTGGTTACGAGCTGATTAAGCAATGAAATAGTATTATTATTATTATTAATATTATTATTATAAGAAGCAATGGAGGGATGGTAGAGTAGTTTCGTAAATGATGGACTCGTGGACGCGAAGATCGAAGGGCAGCATTCCAAGATAGGACAAAACCTCCCCTCTTTTTTAGTATTTTGTTTTTCCTTTAAGTACCAAGTTTCAGATGTTGGATTCTATCTTAAGATTTCAAATCACGTTGCAAGAAGAGCTACATGACTTTAAATTACTGTTTTAATTGAAAATGAAAATATATTTTTGCACAAAATTATTTACAACCATGAGAGATAGGAAGAGAGGAAAGAGAATTGTGTGATAGAATATGTGATGTGATGAAAAAGATATTATATGAATAAAATAACTAATTGAAAAATCACTTTACTATATGACTTGAAAGATAAGGTTTTACTTCACTTGCAGCTTTTTAGAAGTTTTAAGGATTGTTTTTATCTTAATTGTGAAAGTGTTGGGAGACAATCTCTGTATGGCATTGTGGTTTGATGCTGGCAACGATTTTGTTCTATTCCTAACTGCCTGCAGTAAGTTGAGGAACAATATTTCTAAAGATATTATACTTTGGGTAGGAGAGATCGAAGACGAAAAGTTATTAAAGGAATAAAAATGATGAGATATAATTGATTTCCTCTTGTTAGTGGATTTAATACACGGGTCAAATAGTTTCATCCTTTTTACTTAGTAGCTGTGAGATGTCAGTTATTACATTACTTTAGTTAGTTAGTATAAAGCAAAACATAAAGGTAATGCTATAAAAGCTTGTCTGGTTTATCATAATCTTGGAATTTCATTTGCACATCCTATCAAAATCAAATTATTAAATTTGAAATGAATATATATGTTTGTCGAGGGGCAGTGTCATGGCTCTTATTCTTTTATTTTACCAGAGGAGCAGTGTATAGTAGCTTTTTTATTTTACCAAAGCATTTAGTAAGTTTTTGTGTTACCTTTGTTTAATTTTGAATTTGTCTTTCACTTTCATATTTTTTAGTATAACGATAATAATGAGGTTTTGAGTTTATAACTTCACAACCTACCTAAGATCCTCACGATTAATGAAGTTTTAGTGGATTCTTAACTTCCATATTTAAAGCTTCTTTGTGTAACTTTATAAACGGGGTTTAGTTGTATGTTTTTTCTTTTCTTTCTTTCTTTTAAGTGTGATATGCCATTTTAGATATAAAACAAAATCAATTATCAAGCACGCCTTTGCCAAAAGAATCATTGTCTCATTGCAATTGGATGACTTAAATTCTGATGCTGTTACTAAATACCACTTGTTTCATTAATTAACTAAACATGTAGTTACTAGAAATTATTGTAAGTATTTTATATTCTAAAAATTAACCGTTTTTATTTCTCAGTATTTTTTTACTCGATAGGTGAGAGATTAATTTTATTTTGGAACACGTAACTCTAATTCTAGAGAGAGTCGTTTTAACAGTTTTTTTTTCTTCTTTTTTCTCATACACATAAATTTTGGAACAAAACTTAAAGTTACCTTTAATAAATCTCATGTTCCAGTGTCGTGAATGAAAGAAGTATATTTAAAAAAGAGATTTCATTAAAAATGATTAATTAAATCTCTTAATAGAAATTAATTATTGACAAAGTTAGTGAATATTTTATACTAATAATATGATTACTTAAAATAAAAAAAACTACATATACTTTAAAGATTCAAGCTTTGAAACAATTCATGTACCATAAAATATCCTTTATTTTTTTATTTGAATATTTCTTGGTATAAAGGAATATATCTCATGAAGCACAGTAAATCGTTAGGGTTATATGTTGATTCAACTTTTTCTTTATTTATTTATTGAAAGAACTTGTATCCATCTCATAAAAAAAACTTGTATCCATTCACTTGAAAATCAAATGTGAGAAATAATAGCTTTATGATTATTCAAGCCATTAGGAATATCTTAGAAACAGATATTTAAACAATTTCTAAGAAGGTGTATATAAAACCTCCATACCCAAAATTGACAAATATATAAATAAAAAAAAGGCTTTGGAAATATTGTTTAACATTTCAAATTTGTAGTGTACTATTATTTTAGGAAATACTGTATCAGTTTAACAATGATTTACTTTTTCTTTACAAACTTTTGATATTAACAAAGTGTTATTTCTTAAATATTTTTATTAAAATTTGATTTCTAACTATATGTACATCAATGGGAAAAAATTGTTGAGAGAATAAAATTTATTTTTAATGATCACTATTTTCCGAAAGATATTAGTAGTTTTTTTTAATTGACTAAGAGATACGGGTAAAAAAAAAATTTAAAACTGAGATTTTTTTTTGGTTAGATTAATTTTAAATTTTACAAAACACAATCTCCATAGTTGATCAATCAAAACCTATAACTTTATACATATGTATGTATGTAAAGGTAACTTATATTCTATTTTTCTGTTCGTGGCCCAAACATTTTACCGGCATTAATTATGGCGCCAAATCATGGCAATTAATACGAAATGGGATCTTGTATTTGAGATAGATGCTAATGGCGAAGATACCCAATAATGGACTTGTAAAATTTGCGACTATTTTTTATTTGGCACATGAATTTGTGATTATTCATTTTTAATCCATCATTGTATTCGAAGTTTTGTAATAAAACTTACAAAGCTCCTAGTCATTATCTTGTCTGTTGTTCTAGTGGATATGTATGCGAAGAGAAAGAACCTCATGAATGAGGTAAGCATCATGAAGTTCAGTGTCACTCTTTTGTGATGAGAATATATGGATATAATATAGTGCTCGTGTTGGTGCTTTAAAGCATGCGAATGCTTGCATCACACATGACTTGATGCTTCCCTAAGCAGGAACCCCTATAAATAAAAACAAAATCAAAAGAACAAAAAAAATAAAATGAAAAATGTCCCTTAGCATTGTGACACAAGACAACTAGCTAACAAATACCATCAAAGTAGGCAAAAGCTATAAAAGCCTAATAGGACTATTGCCCAATGTTGAGTTGCAAGCATCCCTTAGAGTGCTCAATGGGCTCCACAATCCTCCAAAACTTGTATCAATATAAATCTCATTCATTCTATCAACACGTGAGGATCCCAACTCCCAATTGAAAGAAACCCCTTAATTGGCTTTCAATTTCACCACCCAAAAATTTTAAATTTCACTTCCTCTTTCCCCCCTCTTTCTTTTATGAAAATATCTTTTAAGTGCACCAAACTTTCATGCAACAGTAGCCAAGTGCAGATTGTGCTAATACATGTAAAAGTAAAGAAACGAGAGAAATAGACCTTTTGCATATCTTATCTTCATTTGCAGGATTAAAGAGTCCTACATTAATGGCTGAGAATGGATACTAGATTTGTGATTATCCACGTGTTGGAACCAGGACTAAAGAGCATGGAATTTCCGAGATTGACCTGTGCTAGTGAATGGGATCTTTGAAAGCATAACGTCATAGTGCATATTGTTTGGCCATGAGATGAATTTCATCTAGTGCCCCACTCAAAAGGCTGCTATATAGAAATCTAGCTATAGCGACTTCACTGATTACAATGGAAGCTAAACTGCTAATGGATTTAACTACAACCAGTAAATAACAATAATAATAATTATGATAACAACAATTAGCTTAAATATCCCATTTGGATATATAATGCAGCTAACTAGAGTATACTAGATCACTTGCATCATCTAATTTGGCAAACTTATTTCATCAAGATCATCCAATGACAAGAAAACTTCATCCAAACAAGAGAGCTCTGTTCCATCCCCATCATCATCATCATCATCGTTATCCCTCTCATAAACTCGACATATCACCCATTTACTATGATCCTGAATTAAACAACAAAGTAAAAATACAATCAATTATTATAGATAGTTTTCCACATGAAATTTAATTTTTGGGGCATGTATGTAATATGTATACTATCTGTGCACTACGTACTAACCGGTTTTGGTTGTGATCTTCTTCTGGATGATCTGCTAGAGGAAGCTGAATCTAATAGACGATATTCTTGCATTATCCAATTGGTTGTGTTACCTGCATCAGGAGCTTCTCCCACATGGAACACATAATATTTCTTCATGCCAACTCTCTTGTTGCTTGAGCTTGTAATCACTGGCTCTTCCATTCCCATCGGCATCCAATGGCCATTGCTAGTGACCCTATTTTGTGTTCTTCTGCTGTAGTAGTACCATTGCTTTCCCTCAGCCAAAGCTCTACCTGCATCAATGCACAACCACCCATAATTGATTAAAGTTGACAATCAAGAACTAACTCGCATGCTGTGACTTTTATTGATCAAATACTATTTTAAACAATGCGAGAATCGATTCTGGAAGCGCCAAGTCGACTCTAGTGTAAAACTGGCATGAAAATTTTTTTCTCTATGTATTGTGACATGCATGAATTAACAAAGAATATTTACCATGAAGCTCCCAAGGGTCATAAGGGTAGAGTTCAAGATCAGGGATGACATCTGGGTGGCAAGGTAGAAGATTTGCCTTTCTTTGAAGGAAATGAACTACAAGCTCTTCATCCGTGGGATAGAAGCGAAACCCGGGTGGGAGGTTGACATTGTTGTTATCTCCCATTTTTGGAGGAAGGAAGAAAGGTGGAAAATGAAGGTGGTGGGTGACAAGGTATGGTGTGGTATTTATAGAATTGTGATGCAAAGAAGGGAGGGAGAGAATGACATATTAGAGACTGACGTGAAACTGAAGTTGGTGTTTATCACATACAAATACAATACAATACTCATACATCTCAATATTTTATCAAGTGTTTGATAAAAGTTTTGGCTACTTTCAGCTCTCAACATCAAGCAACCAAGGCGGCGCATAACGGAACGTGATGTATCACTTAGCCAAAACCAGATGTCCAAAACTCTGTTGGACGTTGGAGAGAGCCTTGTGTGTGTGAGACACAATGTTGCATTGCAGCTCATTCTTTAAACCTTTTTATTCATCTCTTTTCATTCATTTTGGAATATAACTTTTAGACATAAACATGTATGTTAGGTGCATAAGCTTATATGCATGATTTTATTTTTATATACTGTCACTGTTTTTAGATATATAAATTTTGCATATCAGTTGAGAGGTGATGTATTGTTAATCAATAAAAAAAACTATTAATTGAATGAATTTTAAAGTATTTATCATAAAAATTAACATTTTATATATATGATCGAATGACTGTTTTAAAATATTTTACATTATTAGAACATAATTTTTTTTCTTATATAAATTTAAATGTCATATATATACTGTCAATAAAAAAATAAAAAAAACTATACCGTGAACCATTTAAAAACTACTAATTAGAATATGACTTTTATCACTTGATATCTTAATTTTATGACTTGGTATTGAGTAAGGTAGATATCTTACTTTTATGACTTGGTATTAAGTAGGGTAATGTACATTGTAAAGATTTGTAAGACATATATATTGTGATCTCTTTTGGGTTATCATCACACTTCATGCTGATATCATCGATGAGCATTATCCACGTGGCACAAGAGTATGGTTTGGATGTTGTGCGAATTGAATTGGGGTGACCGACCTCTTGGAGTATAGCTATATATGCTTCATAATTATATGCAATTATCATAGGATTTTAAGATTTAAATACAAGGTCTTTTTGTTTGCTTTCTACCCATATGCTTTTGCCTTGCTTTGTAATCAATGGATTATTGTAGGAGTAGCACAGTGGGAACTGCACATACATTCCACATGAAACAAAGCAATCAAGTGAATCAGCTATTATTTATTTTGTGAGGGAAGGGGCCACGAGTTTAACTGATTTGCTAGGGTCATTGGTGGGACCCAAGAAGCCCCACATTATTTATATAATTAATCAATTATTAAATCTTGCATAAGAAAGAAACAAACATATAAAACTCTACAAGGAACGAACTACTTTGCTTATAACTTTTCCAACCATAAATTACATTTTGCAGCTCTATTATTATATATTTTCTTCTGATTTAGGAGGTCACTAATTATAATTCTTCCATTAAAGTAGACAACATTATTCTGTTTCTGATGGCTAATCTGAAATTCTAGAGTACCATTCCAGTCCAATTATATAAATGTTAGATTATAAAGTTACTATTTGCAGTACAAGGTGTTACAGTGTCTTTCTTTCTTTCATGTCATTATCCCCCTTTAAGTTGGTACCAACTTCCGAGTGATCAACAACAAAAAAAATATCAAGTTATAGTTTCAAAATCGTGGTGCCATATCATGTTAATTTTAATTCCAAAGGCGTGGTACTAGGTTCGAAAGATACTTGCACCAATTTTAGGTGTAATCTATGATCCCCTTCCAAGAAAAGAAAATGAAAAAAGAGACAGATATCAGAGTATGTGTAAGTGGATGTGGAAGCACTATCATCTAGTATTTTTTGTACCTTCATATCTAAGCCCCATTTCTGGGCTATTGTGGACCAAGAATTGAGACAGAGCCTTCCCTTTATAAGGCATATTTTATCTACAAGGCCCAGTAAGCAACATTCCCCTAAGTGTATGGACATAGTTTTTCATCCTCATCCTCGTGGTCATTGCCTTGGTACTTACCCTACTCCTCAGATTGATTTCGGTGCTTATTCCACAAAGAAACTGATCTTGCAAACAGAAATACAATAGTAATGCCAGTGAAAGATTTTGATTTTTTAAGGTTACAAAATGTTGACATTCTATTTCATTAGTGTTATTCTCTTTTAACACTCACAAGTAATGTACTCCTTATTATTTATTAAAATTTTAAGGGGGTGTTAAAAGATTCAAACCGAATCGATGGGTAAGAAAAATCATTTGTTTTGAAAAAAATTAAATCAATCTATTTATAAAAATATTCAGCCAACCAATGTATTTTTATAAAGTGAATCAATTTAGTTTGATTTGATTTTATGAAAAAAGCTAAATTATATATAAAAAAAGTGGATAACCAAATTAAATTCAACCAATCCAATTTAAAAAAAAATGCAATTAGTTTTTAAACCAATCCCCCTATAAAAAAACAGTTTTGAAAAATCCAAACCATAAATAATTATTGAAATTTACAAGGATACTTGAATTCATGTGTAAAACTTGTTAAATTAAGAGTAAAATTTATGTAATTTCACAACGAATAAGTAGTTTATGCATTGAAGTTACTAAGTGTTTTTATATTATTATCTTATTACAATTTGACATGTATAAATTGTACATAATATCTACTTTAAAAATCAAATCTAGCATGATTTCTTTTTGTTTGACCATCATAAAATTTTTATACTACCAGTACATAAAAATTTAAAACTTCTGTAAAATTTTATTTTAGTCAATCATAATAAAAGTGTTTTATTAGCTTTCCTCTTCATTCGTGGAACATATCTTGAATTGATACAGGGTTGTGACGTTTTGTGACTTAAAAGTTGTGACCATAGCATTTCCCTTGTTTGGAAAATAACGTATGCAGAGTGGTTCTATGGTGGGGTGTTTTTATGAGAAAGAATGCTAGTAGATAATAACAAGGACAGGGACTAGAAAGCATATAGCATCTCTCTGTTCCTGCTAACCTTTACTAAGAAAACATCAATCCTTATATGAGAGAGAGACACACACACACACATCAAAATGGATAATTGCTGGAGCATTCACAGGTTACAGTCAGATTCATAATGCAAAATTTTGGTACATTTCCATTTCATTGCCACATTCTGAAGTAATTAGTCACTTTTTAGATGATCGAGACATCCAAAAAAAACTTCCAATTATACTAATATTTTTCTCTTTTCTTTTTACCTGTTATATAATATACGTTCAAGCTCAATTAACAAGAGTGGAAGTATGCTAAAAGAGCATTATAATGCCCCAAATGGAATGAGCACGCAAGTTTTGCTAACTAAGATGATGGTGTTATGGTAATTGAGTGGTGGGTCTGAGTTAGGCATGTTTGGCTCTCATACTATCTTATTCTTTTATCCTTTTCTTATTATTGGCCGACATTAAAGGGTAGGGAGAAAAATCATATAGAATAATTTATACATACCAATATTTTACTGTGACCAGTAGTTGTTGTTACATTGAGTAATCAATCGTGAAGTACTGCACTATCATCGGACAAGGAAACATCACAAGAGTCTTTTTCTCGTAGATCCTTTTCCACCTTTTCCACATCAAATAGTCCAACATTTGAAATATGCAATGGGGAACTTGAAGTCTTAAAACTTTCATTTCCTTTAGTATCAACCACTCTTTACAAAACAACTGGTTCAACTCAATGTTATGTATGAAAAAGATCATTGGATTGGATGTGTCAATTTTCTCTGCATGAAACACAGCCATCATTTTCCACCTTAATAGGGTGGTATTGAAGCATAGCTCTAAAGCAACAGTAATTGACTAGTGAAGCTTATAGTGGCTTCATGTGAACTAGAAATTACTTTTGTTGTTATCACTCAATTTGAAGTGTCAACATATAATGGCTTTGGATCTGGCCATGAAAGGAGTAAAGTGTAGAATAATGCACCGAGGGATTGTTTCAAAATTAATCAGCAATAAGCGATGTATGGTACAATATGTGTGTTTGATGTTTTTGTTACTTGGATCACCAAGTTTGGACTCTGGCCGCTATATTTGTTGACAAAAGAAGCAATGGCAAGCGTAATTTAAAATAGCAGTTAGGCCATCTTTATCACTCATCAGCCTTGTCGTGAAGACAAGACTATTTCTAGTACTATTAATAAAACATGCTCAAAACTAGCCAAGGAGAAAAAAATAACATAGGTATGCTCTTGGTAGAAAAATAAAAATGGGGAAGAAGATCGTACATGTCTCATCACCATCTTGAGGTGCTAGTGTCAGTGGCATTAGATTGAAAGCGAACGAAAGTGCCATTCTTATTTGATTGACTCCATGATTGTGTATTCATATCTCATACCTACATCTATTGCTAAAATTTGGGTTGTCGATTTTGACCCACTTGACATGCTTTGAGTTTGACTCAGAAAGATACTCTAGTAGTGATAGCTACGCAACCATTATTACAACATTGGACCGTAATGGCTCCATTGACATAGGATTAAAATTTTGAAATTTGAGGCTAAATTTGATTATGTTGGATTAATATTCTTCACTAAATCACCTATCTCTTTTCACTATTCAAGTGTTCGTAATTCGCATAAAAGACATAAATTGGTCTTAATATATGCTAACATTACATAAACAAATAAATTTGCATACGTATTTGGTACTGTACTCAAAATTATCACATTAATGACCCAGATGGTCTTTCATTTAGTGTTTATTGGTTCCTCCACTTCTATGATTGCTTGTTTTTTAATTTATACCTTTCAAAGTTGAAACATGCTGATCTGTGACATGTTCAATAATAGAAAATGAAAGAGTATTATCCACCACAGATTTTGAAGACGGCAAAGGAAGAAAAGAGAGGTTGATATGACATGAAAAAAACTAAAAAGGCATGCCAAGCGTTTTCCTTGTGGCGGGCATGTCCCAACCTCTAACTGCTCTGCCAATATCAATGAACCAGCACACAGTTTTCCACTGCGTTGTCTTGAATTCTCAAATACATTGGCTGCTATATCGATAATGAATTGAAATGATAAAAACATTCGAATGGTTATCCTTTTTCATTATTAGTATAGTTGGGTTGAGAGAGGAATTTAATTTTCATAAAAAGAAAAATAACTTTGAAAAATTAAAAAATTAAAAATTAAAAATATAAAAATTGAGGTTAACTAATAAAAATAGGTGAGTGATTACTAGTAATTAACTTAGTTAAATGGTGAAAATAAAAGTAACTTTCAATATTATTTTTTATTATTTAAAAATCTTAAAGTAAAACCATCTAAAAAAATATGAAAACAAAAAATAGTTACAA